TGCAACGGGGGTGCCTCCAGCATCAGAATGCAACTCTCCGGCTCCTCCACGCTCATGCCCGCGCCCACGCGCAGCGCCGGCAAGTCCACCTCCCAAAGTTCTCATCTAAAGCCAACGTCAGCCACCCCCCAGGAAAAAAACAAAAGAAACGGGAGAAGGCCTTGACCAAAAAAGGGGCACTTCCAACCAGGACGGGACGACTGGTGGTTTTTGGGTTTCCGCTTTGGAGTGGGTTTCTATGATGTGATCTTGACCGTCCCTCTCCACAGATCTTCAGTGGGAGCCAGACTTTACTTGTGTCATCATAGATACACTAGTTTATGACTGCACTACCGTAAAGGACAATGTTGGGTCCAAACAAGGAGTCGTATGTTTGACCAACCCACTAAAACCATTGCTTACTTCCCTTTGCTTAAGTCCCCCAGGAAAAAGAACCAGCAACAGCCATAGATTCCCTTTAAAACCATCAAAATGATTATTCGGCTAAAGGGAATCTGAAAAAGCTCAGCTTTAAACCATCAGATTCACTTTAAACCAACAAAAGCTCAGCTCAAAACCATCAAAGCACCTGGAAGCTTCGGTTTGGAGCGATGCCGCCTATGCTCTCCCAAGGCTCTCCCAACGCTCGGGGCCCCGCCTTCAGGTGCCCCGTCCATGGAGGCCGCCGTGCGCGCGCCTCGAGGCAAGGGGCAAGGAGCAGGCGCTTTAGCCAAGCGCCATCGGATGAATCGTACCGAGTCCATGAGTTCAAGTGAATGTAAAAGAAATAAAGGGTGGCGCTAGTTCAAGGGAACTGCTGACCTGGATAGCATGTCTTCCAGAAGCTCACGTTTCAACGGGAAGGGCGAGCCATCACGATGTTCATGTAACCTAGATTTACATGGAGCCCAAAACGGGGTTCATTTTCCCAAAAAGGAGGGGTCCGTCTTCAGGAGGAAACCTGCGGAAACCATACAGACTTGAAGCCCACAGTTCTCTTACGCCTAGGCTGAATCTCTGGAAGGGACAAAGATGGGAAACTCTTCGGCTGAACATCGTGCTCGCAACTGGCTTGGGTCCCGATCTGAAAGGGGAAGGCACCCAACCTCCAAACTACAAAGGCCGATGCAAATCGGTGGGCCTTAATGGCCTCGTTTTGCCCTGCAAGACCTGCATCGCCCAATGGGCGGTCTCTGCAGTAATTGGCCCTCAAAATAGGGCGTCAATTCAAAGGTGCTTTCTCTTTGGAACATCCTTTTGCATTCGCTTTGGGTTCCCTTCAAACCAACCGCACGCGCGACCCTCTCAAGGGGTGCCTTGATTTTCCTATCTCGGTCAGGTGCACATGCCAAGCCTGAGGGATCCACTGCGTTTCACATCTCAAACACTGATGTGGAAACCACGCGTAGTCATAGGCTGCCAAGATAGAGGGACACCCAAAATGGGTTTTCGGCGTCCCTAAAGGGGTGGCTTTCACAAGCAAGCCCCACAAAAGGGGAATAGCTTAAACTGGTTCTAGCAAACAGGCTCCAGCTTGCGCCAATGGACAAGCATATGCTTTTCGCATCCGAAAGGAAGTCATTTGCTTGCAGCGAACCACATTTGAAACTCTCGGACTAGCATGCCTGAAGACATGGGGTTGGTCTCAAATAGGGCTACTCTCCAATACAAAAACAAAAATGGCAATAGGGCTTCTCCCCAAAATCTCGGGTTTCCCTTCAAACCAACCCCCAAAAACGGCCACTCCCAAAGACGAGTCGGATCCTCGCCTGGGGCTTGGCAGGCGCCGGCTCCGCCTGCAGCCGGGCGCCCAGGATGTCCTCAGAGCACGCGACCGGCTGGAAGCCCCCTTCGCATTGCGTTTGCCTTGGGAGATTTGGGGACCCCAGCAAAAAACGAAGAAAACGAAGGCTAGGGGAAACAAAGGGGACCCCGAAAAATGGCAAAACCAGCAAGAAGGGGAGCTCATTTCTGGGGAAGCTGCCATGGTTGACTTGAACCGGGTCCCGGACCAAAAATGGACAAGCTTCGGCGACAAACAGTTCGTGTCTGCCACTTGTCCGGGGTTCCCTCAAGTTGATGGCCATTTTTGCATGAAGGGAAGCCAGGAAGCCAACTAACCATGCATTTTGACAAGAGGAAACAACAGACATAGACAAATCGGGGGATTTTGACAAAACCTCATATTCGTCAAAATTACGAATGTTTCCCCAAGAGGACATGGATAAATTGGGTGGTCTCAGCTGTGTTTGAAATTTGGGCCTGTCCCTATGTCCCCAAATGGACCATAGACCAGCAATTTTGACAACGTGAAAAGAGCTGTAGATTCTTTACATGTGAGCTTGTTCAATGCCAGGTAGTTTACATAATTTTAAGGGCTTGTTTGACTTTCGGGAAACCAAAAGAATCTCCTGGTTCTAGCTTCTGGGCAGATTAAACTTGCTACTCGTTGGGTTGTCTGAAGGGGAAACCAGGAAGACTCCTTTCGTAGCAGCTTTTGACGACCCAAGTGGGTGTGGTTCCAAGCCTATTTGAAAACCCTCTTGTTTGGTTTTCAAAGTGAAAATAGAATTGGTTGGTTTCAAGCCTAATTGAAAAAGAAAACTTGGGGGGAACCCTATTCCAAACTTTTTGTTTGAACACCAAACCGAAATCCGGAGAAAAAAAAACTCTCGGCAGATCTGGACTGCACTTCCAAGAGGCGATGTTCGCCTGCAGCACCGCCACAATTTTGAGGTGGCTGGGCAGCAACGACACCTGAGCAGCTGTCCCCGCCCGTTTTCTGGCAGGCGCGCGGTTTTAGCGACGACCAGATCTGCGCTCCGAAACGGGCCCCTTCAGTTTTGTTGATTTGAGGGAACCCCTTTGGGAGGGCGGTTCGCCTTTGGCTCCCCAAACAAGAAACATCTGCCTTGGAGAAAGACGGACTACGCATTTCTGTACACAACCCCCAAGCCCCAAATCAAATGGGGTCCACTTGAGCGTGTCTGAGGTGTCTGCCCGAACAGGGTCCACCTGAACGTGGAGGCCCACAGAGTCCGCCGGCCTGGCGCGATTGGGGCCCGTCTATCTGGTGCCGATCGCCGCTGGGATTTCGGCCATCAGGACACGTTCGCAGATGTGAAGATCCTCTCGCCCGAAAGCTATGAGCCGTCCATCCTCAGAGAAAGGACATACTGTGGGCAAACTCCACAGGCACCCGCTGGAATGGATGAACACCTGTTGGGACAAACCATCTATCAACTGCGAAGGTCCCGTTGAGTTGAGTCACAAAAAAAAAAGAAGCCTGACTGTGACCCTCTGCGGCAACCCACGCCCTGCGAGAACTCGGCGCCTGCGCTGCGTTGCTTCGACCTGTCAACACCGCATCGCCGAAAATGCCTTGTGGTCAAAACTCCCGATGCCTGGGTCATGGTCATATCTCCCTCAGCAACCTTTCCGCTTTGTCTAAGACCCCCAGCTTGACATGCATTTCCGGCCTGGTGCGTGAAGCTGAGTCGCACACGCATGGGGTGCAAGATGGGGCCTGAAGGCAAAAAACACAGAAGCAACCTCCATAGGAGCAGCGGGAATTGCAAGTGTGTTTCCCCAGGATAGCGTAAATTTCGGTGGTCACCCTGATTTGTGTGTAGGTACTTTGGGTGGTTCCCCCTTTCTCGTCCTCCCTTGTTTCATGAAAGCGGGTGACGGACAGTGGGCCTACACCAACAATTGTTCAACCTATGAGTTTGAAACAGGGGTGCCGTTTTCTGACATTGGCCTGCCAAAAATGGCAATTGGGGCCTTCGCCCCCTTCTGCCTGGCATTGAAAGGGCAACTGAAAGCACAAAACTTTCTTTGCCAGTGGTGTTCCATGTGTTGGCAATCCCCACCTGGTCTCAAAAAATTGTGTCTCAAAAAAAAGTGTCCAACCGGTCTCCAAACAAAAGGGACCCTCAAATGGCTGTCTTGAGCTCCACCTGGCGCTCAGGCTGAGGGCGCTGCTCGTCCCGCTCCTGAACGAGTCCCTTGGGCCCCGACCCGACCCCAAGTGAACTTTCCGCTTCGAAGGGGAAAGGAAAACCAAAAAGGAAAGGCGAGAAAAACGTACGCCTTTGGCCCGGAATTCTCCGCTTAGAAGGGGAAAGGAAGGAAAACAGACTCTATTGATGGTGACAAAGGCCTATAGCCCTTAACCTCTGCAATGAAAGATAGGGCTCGGTTTGGGCGCCATCAACAGGCAAAGAGCTGCCGGGGTTTCGCACGATTCTCGCGGACCCGTGCTGAAAGTCCGACAAAGCTTCAACCTTCGTGTCACGGCCTTAAAAATCCCCTCGTTGTTCCAGCAGCGAAAAGGGAGAACCAAAACGATGCTGTTCAAACACTATTGGCTTAAGCAATCCACCTTGCAAGTGGAAACTGAAAGCAGGCTGCTCAAGCAACAGGTGCTTAATCACGTTGAAACCAGAGGCTTGGTCGCCCAACCTTCTTGGCCCTCCTTTCTTTTCAAAGGGCGGGCCTGCAAGACTCTGAGCAAGCCGGTCTCGCGGTCGAGGCGTGTTCTACGCGCGCTCTGGGCCACAACCTACTGGTTCTCCGATTGGAATGACTTGGAAGTATCCCCATCATCTGAACAAGCTGTCGAGAGTCGAGTCGAACTGGTGGTTGCCGTTTGAGGCATCCCAAAAGGTTCATTCCCACAACCCTGGGATTGCTGAGAACCGGCAAGCAGCACCCCAAGCCGCCCACGGCTTTGCCGGGGTCGGATTCATGAACATCGACTTGTCAAGACTGGCGACCTTTGTTTGAATATATAAACGTATGATAAGCACCGGGGCAAAAGAAGAAACAGAAAAAGAAGAAGAAGAAAAAAGAAAATGATAAAAAGGGGGGATAAAAACGATAATAAAACGAATTATTTTGGGGGCCCCAACAAGCAACAAGGGCAACCAGCGCAACCAGCTTGACAACCCGACACATGGCCAGCCCTTTGGCTAAACCTCTGAAACCACGGGGATCTTTGCCCCGCTTCGATTCTGCGATCATGTGAGAGGCTGGCCACTGGCATCGCTGTCCTCAAAACCCGCAATCGCAGACACAAAAGTCGAGGCTCCCGACCCGCCAAACCCGCCAAACCTCTGCCGGTGCCTGAAGTAAATCATTCCCCCACGTTTTGTCAGGCATTTGGCCATATGGCGTTGACTGAAAAATGAGTGGTGGACAAATTCTCATGTGTCCGAATGTCCAAGTCGTAGCTTAAGGACTGTCGGAACCACTTAAACAAATCAAACAATGACCCCATGAGATTATTACAGTTTGGTCTTTGGTAGCAATTTGGCACTTGTGTGAGTGTGTGGGTGTGAGTCAAACTACTGTGGGTGGACCCAATCCACCAGCTGGTGGATGGTTCCAGTGTCCACCCATAAGACCCTGTTTTTCCACCAACCATGGACGGTGAATGCACCCGAGAGTCCGAGATATTGCCGGAAGCCTCAAACACAGAGGTCCGCGTCCGCAGCAGCTCGTTGATCTCGCGCATGGACGGCATCACCTGCGTGGGGGACAACAAATCCGAGCTCACCCGAAATGGTAAAACTTGAAAGCCACTGGTCGGGTCTATACCAATAAAAATGAATGTCGAAATATAAAAAAGGATGGTGATGAGGATGATGATGATGATGATGATGATGATGATGATGGCGATGACGATGACAATGATAGCATCATCATCATCATCATCATCATCATCATCATCATCATCATCATCATCATCTTCATCTTCATCATCATCAGCAGCAGCAGCAACATCATCATCATCATCATCATCATCATCATCATCATCATCATCATCATCATCACGATGTTGATTCTGATGATGATGATGATGATGATGATGATGGCTATGGCGATGGTGATAACGACGACGATGATGATCACGATGATAACCATCATACGATAACGATCATATCATCATCATCACCATCATCGTCATCATCATCATCATCATCATCATCATCATCATCATCATCAAGATGATGGTGACATATCATCATCATCATCATCATCATCATCATCATCATCATCATCATCATCATCATCATCATCATCATCATCATCAGCGTCACAATGTTGATTCTGATGATGATGATAATGATGATGATGATGATGATGATGATCATGATCATGACGATGACGATGACGATGATGATGATGATGATGATGACGATGGCGATGATGATGCTATTGACGATGACGATCATGATGATATCATCATCATCATCATCATCATCATCATCATCATCATCATCATCATCATCATCATCATCGAAATGATGATAACATCAGCACGACGATGGTCATGACGATGACGATGACGATGACGATGACGAGGATGACGATCATACGATGACGATGATATCATCACGATGATGATGATGATGATGATGACGATGATGAACCCAAACACAAAACGAGCTCCCGCCGCTGACAAACCTTTGTGGACAATAATCCTGATTCACATGTGCACAAGCATGAATCTCGTTCTCAGAGGATTGGAGCCCCTTTTTTGAGGCTTGCCAGGGTGTCGAGAGTATGGCTGCTTCTTTTGCTGCCCATGGCAAAGGCGACGCAGCCGCTTCTGCAACAGGTCCCGACAAATCAAGGTTCATTTTGATCAGAAGACACCCGGGACCCGGGTCATACATCGCAAGATTGGGAGAGCTGTTCGTGGGAACTTTGGGTTCCGAGGGGAAATCCGCCTCATGTCCTCCCCAAAGCCGACACTACGCACCACTTTGAGACCATGAGAAACCACCGTTTGTTGGTATTTACAGGGGAATCATCATTTCAGGCTTGCTTAGGTGGTGCAAGATTTCGTCCATCCACAGTATGGCTGGCTGTGCTTCGTTTTCTGGTGGCCATTGGGTGGCTTCCGGAGCAACCCACCTGCGCTACCAGGGGATCGTCTAAATACCCTGGCCTTCTCCTTGAAGATGCCGCCGCCTGCCTTCATGATGAGCCTCATCCACCTGAGTCGAATCCATGGAAAAATAGATATACATAAGTGTAGGTCAAAAATAGGTACCCAAAATGGAACCCTGGTAAATGGAAACAAGGATTCAAACTTGCGGTCCCCTGGTGGTTTAATGTTGACTTATACTCATATGGACAGTCGAAGGAAAGAAGGGGGAAACAATGATGATGAAGGCAACAAATGCCAAGGCAGCTCCTACATAGAACGTGCGGTGCTTTGGTGGGTTTGCGGCTCATTTAGGCTTTGGTTCAGGGTTGGTTGAAGGTTTGGGCTAGGTTTGAGGTGAGCGTAAGGTTCGTGATTGGCTTAGGGCGGTTTTAGAAGGATTGGTTCAAACTTGGATGGGCTTTCGGAAGGTGTACCTTAGCGTGCCATGGTTCCAAAAGGCCGTCCCCCCCAAAAAAAAACGAAGATGGCCTCCAGGGATGGGGGAATCGGCGATGGGCGGCGGAAATCGGCCGTTTCGCCAAGTGGGCGTCCCGGCCGGAGATCTTCCACGGTGGGGCGCTCTGTCGACTCCACGGGCTCTCCCTGCCAAGATTTGCTCTGGCACTGGGTGGCACTGGGTGGCACTGGGTGTCCAATTCTCAAAACGGAATTGGCAGCCCCCAGTTTTGGGGGGGCGGCTGATTCTAGATGGAATCCCCTGTCCCAAAGCAAAATTGGAGAACAACATGGCCCCACTGGAGGTTTGGGAAGTTCATTCTCAAGGGGCTCCAGTGCAAGGGTCTTTTGATGGGCCTGATCGACCCTGGCTTTGGAGACGCATTTGGCGGGTGCTTTTTTGAGGCTCGGTACCTTTTGGGTTGGTTGAAAGGAAAACGCCACCCATTTTTTGGGGGCCGATCCTGCTTTGAGATCGGGACCGGTTTTTTCAGGTAGTGGGTTCTCCTTGCCATCCGAAGAGGGAGCCCTATTCCGAGAAACCCCGTAAATATTGATACTGGTACCCTCGCAAGTTGCCATGGAATGCAATGCATTTGTTTTTGTGCAGTTGGGTGGAAGTGGATGGCACAGAACACCCATTTGAGTATGGTAAACCAACTGACAAGGGTACCCCTCCCAAACCACGCGGCCATAGCCGCTGACAGTACCCGCAGCTTGGCTGGGAATGTTAGGACAAAGGCTAGTCCATGATTTGGCAAGTTCCAGGGGTTTGTTTGCTTTTCCTTGATCTCGTTGGCATCCAGTGGGAACCGCTCTCAATTCTGCGGACTTCCCGTTCCGTTCCTGAGTCGGAAACCCAAAGGCATGGAAAGGCTTCGAAGGAACCTTCTCAGGGGAATTGGGAGAACCCGAGCCCATTTGCCGAAGATTTCGTGTCAGGACGGCGCAGCAACCCGCCAAAAACATTGCACCGAGGCAGCGTCGCCAGCGATTCTTTTCTCCGCTCGATCCGGCTGCCCCTCAGCCTCGAAGAAGCGGCGCTTTAACCTAGAGATCTTCCGGATGTCCTGCAGCTGCTCTTGCAGCGCGAGGCTCTCACCGCCAAAGCGAGCGTCACCCCATGTCACCACTGACCTGTGTTGATCCCTTGGCCAAAAGTCAAAAAACAAAAAAATACTGGGATGATACTCCCTTAAATTGACATGGAAGCCAGAAAGCACCCATAGAGGAAGCTCCTCTTGCGAAAGGGAGCCAAACAAATTATGATTTCCGATAGTTTGCATCCGCAAAGTCTACTGGGCCCATTCAAGTGACATCCTCAACCCTAATGGAGGGATTTTGGAGACCCCGTCCAAAAATCTTCAGGAAGACCCCAGCCCTACCCTGGTCCCACGCAAACAAAGTATGGGGACCGGCCACGCGGCCCATCCGCTCGCAACACCGCGAAGGCCGCGCAGGAAGCGAAGAGCTGCCGCGCGTCGCGGATCTTCCTCGGTACCCGCGAAGGCCGCGTGAATAACACGCCGCGGGTCCTTTTTTCAAGAGCCGAGAAAAAGCTTTGAAGGCAAAAACGAGAACAAAAATGTGGGATGGCCATTAAAAAGAAAACCATGTAAAGAAGGAAATTTCGGTCTGGGTAACTTTTGCTGGTTGAATGCGAAAATGAATGGAAACTGGCCAGCACCCCCCCCACTGCTGCTCCTATGTTCCATGCTCTTCCAAAAGCATTCCCTCCAACAAAAATGGAAGTGGGGGGGGGCTTCCCCAAACAAAGTCTGTCTTGACATAGGAACCCCAAGAAATGGGCGGCTTCCTTTTCGTCTTCAAAACCCCAAACCCACCAAAAAGGGGGGCCCTACCCTGTAACCGACAGCTCAGTTCGGCCAGGCTTCTTGGCACGGGCACAAGCCCCCCCGAAGCGCGGGTGGCCCCAGGCGACGACCCGGCCGTCCCGCGTCAAGGCCGCGAAGGCGAAGCGCGTCGCCGCGATCTGCACCACATCCGCTTGATCCACGCTGGAGGACGCACCTCGAAGGGGTTCCTTTCTGCACAATGGGGCGCTTTGGGGGCCCCCGAAAGGCCAAGTGGCGGCTCAGTTCCGAAACCCCGAAAAGCAAAGTGGACAGTTCCTCCCGAAAAAGGCTCAGGTGGCCTGTTCTGCGCGTTCCGTTGATGGGATATGTGAACCCCAGTCTCAAAGTCCAAAAATTTGGCTCCCGACCCCCGCCTCCCCACGTCACCACCGCGCCGTCGGAGAGTCGGATCCCCGCAAAGGACTCCTCCCAGGGATTTGGACAGCCACGGCGGTCTTCTTGGCTTCCCTTAAACCAAGAACCGAGCCTTTCAAGGAAGTTCGTGGTCTATGTGACCGTGAATTCCAATAGGGAACCCGGGCATAAATCCCCGCCGAAATGGTGTCTACCATTCGGGGTTTTTACCAGAATTTGCCCGCTTCTTCCACCCAATTTACCCCAATTCCCCCCCCAAACCGCCCACCCCTAATATCTTGGGATTTGAAGAAGAGTGAAGACATGTAGATAATTGCCTCGTCTCTCGGCTGTAATCATCACTCACTAACCCTTCTATCCGTCCCATTCACCTCGTTACCTCGCATCACGTCCGGACTCTTCAACATGGGATAGGGACGGAAAGGGATGGGAAGGAATATTGGTTGGTGAAGTCACCTAGAGACGAGCGAACCATCTCTCCGGACCCTCTATCTCCTCTCCATTGCATCGCTTATCAGCTGGGATTATGTTGGAGAGATATAGATAGGGCCCGCCAGGCAAAGATATTAATAAAATCCAATATTCTAAAGTGTAAGGTGATGACGAAGGAAGAAGGGATATCACGTTCCTTTCACCTCACTGTCAAGCCATTTTTAGAGGGTTGGCAAGCACTATCCACTCTCTCTCTGTCTCTTAACCCCCAACCCAACCCCCAAGCCCCCACCTCCGACGCGCAGATCTGGGCCATCCGATCCTCCGGGGTCTCCCACTCCGCCACGCCCCAGGTGCGCACGGAGCCGTCGCCCTGCAGCGCTGCGAAGGCGGACTTCGTGGCCACCAGCTGCCGCGCGTCGCGCAGCTCCGGCGCCGAGCTGCGGGCGCCGTACCTCAGGCAAATCGATTCGATGCGCAAGAGCCAGGAATCTGGGGGGTTGATCACTATACCGCCGAAACGGGGAGCCACTGGGATGTAGCTGTTTTGCAAAGCTATTTTATTTTTTAGGGGTACAGAGTCGGCAAATGTTATTTCCTGGTCACTGCAGGCCCAGTGAACCCAGGTTTGTGGAGGGGAAGCTGGCGGAACACTGTGAAGAGCATCGCGCAGGGAGTTGGCAATTGCGGGCCCTAGGCCCTAAGCTTAGTCAAGAGTTGACCACGCCTCAAAATTCCTTCCCGTTTGCCTTTCAGGTTCCATTTTGAGTACTCACATGTTTGCAGTCAGTTGTTATGATGTCTTGTGGACATACGGGGAATCGTGCCGTATTGCCATATTCTATTGCAACGACCGCCACCCGAACCTACCGTACCCCGCGTCAATCAACACCCACTGTTGCTTTCACAAGACCGTCTACTTGGGACCTAACTGCCTAACTGTGGGCTAGAGCTAGGGAGACTTGAGACCCCCCAAAAAAAACAAAGGCGTCCATTTCTCCAGGAGTTGAATCCCCATTCTTTTCAATCATCGTTCTTTTCACAAACATGCCTGGGTTTCTGGAGGCTTTCTGGAAAGAAGGATCCCTGGAAAGAATGGGGAAGGTACCCCTAGAATGAAACCAAAACCTCCAGAAACCAGGGCCATCGATAATTAAGTGGCGCTTACAGAACCCCCAGTTTCAGCATCACAAGCAAACCAGGCTCCAAAGGGCGCCCAGATCTTGAGACACCACCAAAAACGCTCAAAAACGAGAAGGGACACCTCGGGTTTCGCTGGGACCACCACCAAAAGCGCTCAAAAACGAGAGAAAAGGACACCTTTCGGATTTTGCGCACCCCCGCCTGGCCGAGCCCCACATCACCGCGGTGCCGTCCTCCCGCACCGCGCAGAAGGCGCCCAGCGAGGCCGCCATCAGCCGCACGCGGCGCAGGCGGCTTTGGACGCGGCGGCTGTCGCCCCCCAGGCGGCGGCAGCCCCAGGTGGCCACGGAGCCGTCGCCCCGCAGAGCCGCGAAGGCGTCCTGCGCGCCACGCGACTCGACCTCCCCAAACAAAAAAAGTGAGAGAACAATATGACCATAGGTGTCCTTTTGGGGGAAATAGATGGCCTTGGTAGATGATTACACCACAGGGCCATCTATTTGTCTGGCAAAACAACCAACAAGAACACCTATGAATATGACAATGATGGCGCAACGGTTTTCCTGTTGGTTTCCCCTGAAAACCCACCCGAAAAAGGCTCCCTAAAAAAAGACTTAAGCTTGTCGAAATACCCGGGGTCCTAAAAGCAGTTGGGGGCGCTGGAGGCGGAGCAAATGGCCTTGCAAGCCACTTGGTTTGGCCAAAAGCGCTGTTGTTGAACCCATTTTGCAACCACCGTGTTCTCTTTTTTCTGAGGGAAGCAGGGTTGCAGAATTCATCCCCTGCAGTGGCTTAGGAGAAGCTCTTGAAGCTTGAAACCGCTTCCTCTTGGTTTCAGATTCAAAGGTGAACCCCGGGGGGTGCTTGGTGCACCCTCCGAAACTCCTCCGTGGCACAAAGCTGCTTCACGTCGCCCAGGTCGAGGTCCGCCTGCGGACAAGATTCGTGTTGACTTCCCAAGCTAGAGCTAAACCCAGGGGTGCTAAATCTCCAAATTACAAAAACCCCGGCAGTAACCCCGAACTGGTGTTTTCCCTTCAAACCCCCCCAACAAAAAGCACAGAACGGCACCCCCCAAAAAGAAAGCAACCAGCCCGACTCATCTGCGCAGCCCACCTCGGGCAGACAGCACCTCCGGTGGCCCCAGGTCAGCACGCTGCCGTCCGCCGCCACGGCCGCGAAGCCGGCGCTGCAGGCGCAGATCTGCCTCGGCGCCTTCAGCTCGGGCACGCCCAAGGAGCAGTCGCCCCAGGTGAGCACCGAGCCGTCCCCCCGCACCAGGAAGAAGGCCGGGGACCTGCAAGAGCCAGGGTTTGTTGCTGCTTTCAACGGGGAGTTTTGAGCCAGAAGAAGCAGAAGCTTGCTGGCTGGTTTCAAAAACACCAGCAGCTGGCGTTTTCGCCCAGAAGTGGCGCCAAACGCCGTTGGCCCCCCCGATTTTTAAGGGAGAAACGAAAGAAGGGTGGTTGAAACACAGGTGGCTTCACCGTGTTCCCCGATGTTCATTGCCAAGCCCGCCTCCGGCACGTCTCAATGCGCGCCCCTTGCACAGTGGCCACTAACGCGTCCCCATCCTGTGACGGGTGGTGCCCAAGTAGTTGATTCCCAACCAGACTACTTGGGTTTGTCTTTTTTGAGGATACCCAAGAGGAAACCGATGCCATTTTCGCGGGGTGCCACGCCCACTTGAACTCACTTTCGCGGGGAGTCCCTCTCACAGAAAGTGGAATCCCCTTTGGGGCCCTATGTAAGTTCCGAGGGTCGTTACCTTATCAGCTTGATTTCGGGGCATCCTCAAAGGTATCACAGAGAGTGGCAAACTCCCAAACCCCAACTTCCCATCGAAACAGAGGGAACTTCTAAAGGAACTTGGGGTCACAAGTCACAGGTGACCTTTTTTAGAAAAAAAGATGGGTTTTTTCTGCTAAATGGAATAACACCAATCTAGACCAGGGAGACCTATCTATTTCCGGCCTTGAAGGGACACCTCTGCTTCGAAAATCCCAACCCAGTCCTGCAGCCCGGCCTCCTGCAGCGTGCCACTTTCCTCAGCCCAGTGGGAGAAGCGGCCACCCTTTGTTAAAGATGTCCAAGGGAAACCCATCTCCAAAACAGGAACGGCTTGGCTCAAGCCCTGGGTTCGCACTCAACCCTAAAATAGAAACTGGCGGTCGACGCAACCCCAGACAGGGTGCCAGCGGGCACCGCCCATGTTGATCTTGAACCCAAAACCAACCAAGCCGAAAAACCGGGAAAGCGGAAGGCAAACCCCAGCCACCAGACAGCCGGGTTGCCTCCAGCAGCCGGGCTCCCCAGACCAGCGCCGCGATGCCCCGCGCTAACTTCCGCTCCGCGCGGCGCCGGAGGTCGCGGAGCGCCGTGTCCGGCGCCGCCGCCACGGAGACGAACTCCCCGCTGAGCAGCGACACCCGCAGGGTGAGCTTCGCCATGCATGAAGTCTAAGACAGCCAAGGAGCTAATTCGGTCTAAGCAAGGGAGAAATCGGCAAAAAAGAGCTATTTGTGCTTATGCGCCAAGAGCCAATTCTGTCTAAGAAATATGTCGGAAAAAAATAGCTAGTTGTGTTTTTGGAGGCAGAAAAAAAGATGGGCGCGCAGCTGCGTCTGCTTTGCGTTCTGCGTGTTTGCAAATCCCTGGCTGACCTGCTTTATGTCAGCCTCGCCACTTGGTTGCAGCCTGGTGCCCCTCCATGCTTTGGGTCTGACCGGCTGAAACGTGCAGCGATGCGAGCCGTTCGTCCAAGAACTGCACCCCCTTCCGAAGCCCTTTGTTGGTACCCAGAGGTTCCAAGCCTGGTTAAAAACCTTACCTCAGTGTGTCCAGTTGCCGCTCTGAAGGTCAGCACATATGTGTTCCTCTGGGTTGTACATCATAACTGCCTTCCCCTGGTGGAATCACAGGGTAGTGGCTGGGTCTGCAAGCACTGGGTCACGGAATGCATGCAGCCGATTGTTCAAATGAATCAACGGGCTTGACCCGCCTGCACGTACTGTTCTCCGAGTTCCTCCTCAGCATCTGCCTGCGCAAGAAAATGAACGAAGATGGAAATGAACAAAGACTTGGGCTTTAAAAGGAGCCCAAAAAGGAAACCACCCGGAGAAATCCCCAGTTTGAGAAACCCCCACTGGCAAGCATCACACTTGTGCCAAGACATGTGCTTTTCCTTTGCTGGCGGGGCCCATCAACATGGAGAAATCCCTTAGTTCTAATCAGGGACACTGCTACAAGAGAAGCCACTATCTGGCAAAGCATCGTGCGGATTTGAAAAGAACAACGCCCGCCATTTCCGAGGTCAGAAATATGGCCCTTGTTCAACCCCTTGTGCCTGCCTGACGTTTACAAGGGATCCCTGGATGACGCGCCTCGCAACTTGGACCCCGAAATGTCTGCAAGCCATGTGGCCATCCCAAGTGAACATCCCAATCCCCACTGAAATAGGTTCCAAAACGGGTGGTGCACCTACCCCAAAATGGTACCAAAACGGTTCTGACCCACAGCCATGTGACAAAACGGCGCCTTCTTGTCGCTACGCCTCCCAAGACGCTCGCTGGGCTCGCCTGCACGCCTTGATCCTTGAGGTGGCCTTGCTGCATCCGCATGTCATGCTCCACCAGCAGCCTGAGGTCCAAGTCTCTCAGGTGCCCAGGTGTCCGTCTGCGCTAAAAAATATAATTACTGAAGTCCGTTAGTAAATGTTTTTTGAACTACGTGAAATCCAAATCTATGTTCAGCCGCGACCTGAAAGGGACGCCTACGGCCAAACGTATCTCCGTGAGCCCTGTCAATAGTCAGCATGTGAGACCATTGCTCATGTCCCGTCTTGCTATGGTTCCGTTGGTAAGCGTGTGTTCAGTAAGCTTGTTGAGCGGGCAAGCAAAGCGAAAACCACCCGACCCTTTTGGGGGGCGGGTCTATTGACGCTCAAAGTTCCTCATGTCTGTGCGAACTCTAGCACAGCCCGCCTGTGCTGAAACCAGCGGTCATGAAACGCGTCCTGACGGGCAAAGACCCCGGATGTCGAACTTGAAGATGCCGAAGAAAGCTTTCACAGTTCCAAGTACACACCCTGAAACACCTCATGCGCCTGACTGCGAAAACTCCGAAATGAAACCGTAGCTCAGGGCTTATTTCCTGGATATCATGATGGCTAGAAGCATTGGGTGGTTGCCCTCTAAAATGTTCGGTGGGCCCAATCCATGCTTTTCCAACGTCCGGAACTCCTGAAAGGAATCCTCAAACTGGCGGCCCATCCTAAACAAGACACCCCCTATCAAAAGTTCCAGCAAGTGAAGACACCAGCTCTGGCCAAGCATAGGTTTGCGCAGAACCCATAAATACCTCCGTCCTTTTTACGTCACGGGAAACCTAGAATTCATGGCACGCCCGTTTCCGCGGATATCTTGTCCAAAGGAAAAAAAAAAACAAAAACATCCGTCCCGTGCCGACGTCACTCCTGAAGCAGCTTGAGGTCGGCATCCTCTGATCCGATCGCGGGGTCGGGAAAGCGTTTGCCAGAGCCCAAGAGGACGTCCAGGCTCTACTTGGGTGTGGCCCAAAGTCTCTGTCCAACGCGGTAGGTGAATGGCATGAACAGCAAATAAGACCAGGTGGTACAGTTGGATGAAAATCGATGGCACAATTCCACCATTTTGCTTTAGTCACCCCCTTTACGAACCCACAAAAACGAGACATGTGCCATGCAGTCTTATCCTGATTCCTCCCTCGCTCACATCCCACCCGAGTTGTGCATCAACCAAAGCCCCTGGACTCTGCCTGGTTAGAATTGGTTGGCTTTGCCCAGCTAATTCCCAGCATCCTTCGAGCCTTGCAACTGGGGTCATGTTTTGCCTCTGACATGAAGTCGCTGCCAACCTACGATTTCAGACACAAATCGAAAAAGCATTGTTTTTGTCTTCAAATTTGAATGGGTCTCGCAGCCTTTCCCTGGTGCAGCGGGCCTGACCAACGATTTCTTTAAAATACAAAGCGTCGAGAATTGAGTTGATTCCTTTTTTGAACTTGAATGGCCCGCGGATTCCTGAAGGCCAATCGCATCATTCATTGGCGCTGAAACCACTCAGACATACTTTCAGGCACAATGTTGAATTCAGAAATTCCGTTCGGACATACTGTGAATGGACGAAATACTGCACCACCTAAGGATTCGATTTCCCTGTAAATAGCTGCAAACAATGGCTTGCCATGGTTTCAAAGTGGTGTAGGATTTCGTCCATCCACAGTATCTCAGACATAGCTTAACAATTAACTTATTATGCACCATGCGTTCTGTTGGCCGACATGCCAACGTCAAAATTAAGACAACACAAAATCCCGAAAAATCTAATCGAAGGGTTTTGTCTCCAAGCTGGGCCGACCCCCTCCCCGAACAAAAACAAAAAGCACGACAAGGGTGTCAACTCAAAAAACTCAAGTGAGCGGCGCCATGTTCGGAGAAGGTTTTACCCGGTATTGGGCTTTTGGTGAGGGCTCTGCAAAACTTGACCATCTTGATAGATTCAAATGTCAATAAGGTTTGGCATCCTCTCATAAACCAACATGCAACCCCCAGGAGGCTTGTTTTGAAAGGAAAATGGTCCGGACCCCCTCTGCCCACCACCCTCAGGTTCTGTGGCAATACGAGGTGGGAGGGTATCATGTTCACAGAAAAGTGAACAACTGGTGCTCTCCCTTTGTTTCTTGCTTGGCTTCCGTTTTGTTTTCGGTTTCCTTTGGTTCCGCCACAATGCAACAGGTTTCCCAACTCGAAAGAAGACGCCAAAAATGGACAGCCAAAATCCCCAACGACACTCCGCAAAGGCTCCAAGGAAGACCTGCATGGGTTGGACGATTCAACAAGTTTGTTTCAACTTGTTAAGCCACGTTGCCTTTGATATGTTGGTCTTGCTGATGGAAACCCGCATTGGGTCTGATTGAAGCGCATGTTGCCAGCCCCGGTACCAACTCAAAAGACGCTTTGGCCTGGATATGTTCTGTGCTGTCCCCTTACCACCCCCTCCCCCCCAAAAAAAGACAAGAGAAAGAAAAGAAAGAAGGAAAGAAAGAAAGAAAGAAAGAAAGAAAGAAAGAAAGAAAGAAAGCAAGAAAGAAAGAAAGCAAGAAAGAAAGCAAGAAACACACAAAACAGAAATCAGTTTCCTGTCTACAACCTGCAACGCTTAAATCAATCGACCCCAAACTACAGACGCTAATAATGCCAAATCCCCACGGCCCGGCCGTTTTGGGCCCGCGCATTCGCACGCCTTGGTGTGCTATTAGGCTACTCAATCATCCCCTAAACCAGGCGGTGTCCCTTTGTGACAGCCCCGAACAAACTAGACTCCCATTCGCATCCCAACCTAAAGCTCCCCAACTGCCCAAAAAAGCAAAAACACATTGCCTTGGAGCTTGCAAAATCCCATCTTGCCATTCGCCCGCCCAAACAAATGACGCCGCATTCGACCCCCTGCCGTCGCACAAAAAAAGAAGATTGCCTTGGTGGCAAAAAAAAAAAAAACTCCTGCCCTTCGCCCTGCCACCCGGAACCCCCGTAGCAGAAAACCGAAATCCTTGGTGTGCTCCACCACGATGAGCCCCATCTGGAAATCCTGGAGCTCCAGGCCCCGCGCAAAGGTCTCCTCGCTGAACATCTCCTGCATCACCGGGTCTGTCACATCCTCAGACAGCGAGTGGCTCGAGCCGCGCATGGCCCCGCGGTCCGGGGAACCCAGGGGCACACCCCATGGCTTCGGAGCTCAACTTTTGACTTGGGAAAACCGAGGGCAAACTGCAGCCGCAAATGTCTGTGTCACAAATATGGTCTCCCCATCCAAGAAACAAGTTGGCCCTGAGGTTTCTTCCCTGGAAGCCAGCCCCGATCAGAACCATCCAAAGCCCATGCCGATTCCCTGCTGAGACCCAATGAATATATGAAACAGCGTGGATTTGGTCCACGCATTGCATGGATCTGCCCAGGTGCTAGGCCGCCGCCGATGATGTTGCTCCTCATGGCGGTACGGCCTCGTGTTCGCGGAGGGCGAAATTCGCTTGCGAGAGGCCAAGCCGAAATCTGCACATTGACATGGGCGCAGTTCGAGTTCATTGGTGCGGCTCTGTTTTGAGGGTGTGGCTTTTCGGAATTGCTCAAGAAAGGCAAGAGAACATGAACACCCCGTGTTCTTTTGTTCTTTGGTTCTTTGTTTGCTTCTTCTTCTTTTTAGTTCTTTGGCGGGGGGGGGTGCCCCCGTGCAGACGCTCCGCCGACTCAACATCCGCGGCGAGCGGCGCTGCAGGACCTCGACCTGCGGCTTCTCCACCGAGCGACCCCTGAGTTCGCAGGCGAATCGGTCTGGCAAATGGATCTGTCTTCCTTTTTGAGGGTTCACCTTTTTCGGTCGTTCAAAGCGAAACCAAGAGGAAACCGAGGCCATTTTCGGGGGCACCCTAAAAAACGCACACAGACCCAAATGTGTGGATCCCGAAAGGCTACACAGATGGATCTGCAAAGCCCACACGAAAGATTTTCAGGGCCTGCTGAAACAAGCATTGGGCCCCTAAGTAAAGGACCCGCATAGCAAGCTTGCTTTACCCCACATTGGATCTATTTTCGAATGCTCTCCTACAGAGTATCCTGGAACCCAAATATTCATCCATGTCCAGTGCCAGAATAGCTGAAAACAAAAGTAGCCCGCTTTGATGGCTCGAAGGGAAGCCTGTTGGAAAACAATTTATTCTTGTTTGTGATTGTTTTTGTTTTTGCTTTTTGTCCGGGCGGGGGGGGGGGGGGGGGCCACTTTAAGACACGCCCAAAGATAAGCACAAATTGTGGGATCCCCAAGCCAAAGAAACCGACATAGAGCGTTGACTTGGGGGCCCGTGTACGACTGCTAGAGCTGCAAGCCAAGAGATCCGAGCGGCTGCATGCGAGCGGGCAGATTCTCGAGCGTGGCCCCTGGGAGTCCGGCAGTTGGGACTCACGAGTTGACAATCAAAGAAAGTTTGCCTCATGATCTCTATCACGCACAACACACACACACGGAGAGACACCACGCACGCACGCGCGCGCACGCACGCACGCACGCACGGCCACGCATGGCCACGCGCGGCCACGAATGGCCACGCGCCCCACAGTGTCATACACAGAGCAGGCTCCGTTGTAAAAGGGAACGCCAAGGCACATAGCCATCTCATCAATGCAAAGCATTGGTCCATAGCTGCTGTCCTCGCGTTCAGCTCAGCTCACGACTGGGCTTCAATCAAGGCTCATCCCATCTCCCTTGCTCGTCGCGTGGGCACAACTCAAAGATGATCAAAATCACGCCCCGGCTACAGGGAACGAGCTCTCACGTTGAACACACAGCAACAAACAAAATCATGACCCCAGCAACGCTGCGGCTTCCGACAGCCAGAACCGACCCAGAGCCCCATACTGTCCTCTCGGTTGGAATCGTGGAGAGACGGTTCCGCACGTTGGATTGCACCTTCCGCATTTCAGCCTAGCAGAATATCACTGGGCGACCAATTCGTTGAATGTGTTGCAACAAACGGATCCCTTGGAAGACTACTTTCCTTTTTGGGCCAGCTGCTTGCCCACTTCCGCACAGGCGCCTATCGAATGAACTCCGCCCTCATGTAGCTCTTTACATTTTGTTAACTAATGTTTTTTCGTTTGCCGAACAAAAAATGATCCCTCGCGCCTGTCGAATGAACTCCACCCTGCTGTAGAAGAACAGCACTTTCGTGGGATCATTGAAGAAACTCTCGGTGAGCAGCGATGTTCTGAAGCGTTTGCGCACCGACGCGCTCAGCGGCTCGTAGGAGCTGCCCCTTAGTGACATGCGATTCGCTGCCATTCAAACCCCCTGTTGCAACATGGTTAAGCCTCCTTGGTTTAAACAACTGCCTCTGGTTTGTCTAGTATAAAACTTTGCCCAGTGTATTGTCTAGACAATTTTTGCAACTAACCCTGCCAAGGGGTACAAAAGGCCATCCGAGCTACTCGCGGTGGATTCAACACGCACCTGCCCTAAAAAACCAGGAAAAGGTGGTTACTGTTCGGGCTCCTTGCATGTCACCACTCAATTATCACCCAGAATCAAGATTGGCAAAAAACAATCGGTGCCCAAATGCTTCCCCCCAAGGGAACTGCTTGCAGAGCTCGGAACATACTCTCCGTTGGCTCCACTGGCCCCATGGAGTATTCGGAGTAGGTGGACGCCTGAGACTGCCTCGCAAAAGTAGACTCCCGAGTCTGCCTCGCAACAGGTTGGGACCGATTCCGCCCCCCACAAGGAATCACAGGGCACCGTTGTTGTGGCCAGGGAAACTAAGTTCATGCCTTTCTCTTTCTTTTCTCTTTCTCTTTCTCTTTCTCTTTCTCTTTCTGTTTCTCTTTCTCTTTCTCTCTCCCTTGTTTTGCTCTTTCCTTCCTTTCCTCTTTCCCTTCCTCTCCTGTCTCTTTCTGTTTTGCTGCCTCTTTTCTCTTCTCCTTCTCGGCCTCTTCCTCTTTCTTTTCTTTCTGAATGTCTTGTTCTATCTATCTATCTACCTACCTATCTACCTACCAATCTACCTACCCATCTGTGTACATGTTGGGCAATTGAATTTAAAGGGAAACCCATGCAAGGAACACCGTAAAGAAAAAAACACGGAAAGAACAAGAACGGTCTCCACTGGGGGCTTGAAAACTTTTTGTGCCCCGCCTCGCAAACGTCGACTTCCGCGTCCGCCGCGCAAAGGTGGACTTCCGCCCGCGCGCAGCAGCAGGCACGTCGTCGGCGTCGGCATCAGAGTCGGCGTCCGGTGCCCCGTCGGCCTCCGAAGCCCAGGCCACTCGGCTTTTGTTTGGAACCCCTTTGGAACCTTCGTGG